ACTCAGGCAGGCACTGAAGACAGGGTGGTAATTACGAGTTTCAAGCAATCTGAATTTATAATTGGCTGAGATTTCACTCAGCAGATAATGCACTGCCATCCTAGGCATTTGCTGTATCTAGGTCAGGCCATTAGTTTTGCTCTTAATCTACACACAGTTTTAATTTCATCTTTAATGTCAAATTCCAGCCAGCAAGCTGAGCCAGCAGATGACTTTGTCACTGATTGCATTCAACATCTCGACCCCTCCTGAACCCACAGAGATGGAAAACAAGCACCAACATCCTGATGTACTTGGACCACTCCCAGCCAAGCTCCTGCAGCCGGAGCGCTGGCGCTGCCTGTTGGACTGGGAAATCAGAGAATCATGGAATGGTTTCAGTTGGAAGGGACCTCAAAGACCATCTATCCAGTCCCCTGCCATGGGCAGGGACACCTTCCTCTAGACCAGGCTGCTCCAAGCCCTGCTCAACCTGGTCTTGAACGCTTCCAGGGATGGGCCAGCCACAGTTTGTCTGGGCAACCTGTGCCAGTGTTTTAGCACCCTCATCACAGAAAACTTTTGGGAAGCAGAAGCCATCACCACCAAGGAGCCAGCCTGGCCCATGCTGCCAGTGGATGCTTCACCCACCACATGAGGTGCTGCACGGGACAGCAGGACAGGCAGTGCACAGCTGAGCAAGGACACACAGAGCAGAGCACACCCCAAGTGACACACCCAGGTGGCACTCCAGGACCTCCCAGAGCCTAGGATGGGGGGTTCAGGGCAGGAAGTGACCTCGAACATGCCATGTTAAAACTCAGGTCCACTTTCTGAGGGCACCTGCATGCCCCTCACCTCATCCTCACAGCACTCATGGGGTGCCACACCTGCCCTCACCTGCGGGACGCTGCCACCAGTATTTCATCCCCCATTATCTCCACAGCTCTCCAAGCAGGTCAGCACAGCACTGGAAAAAAGCAACTCCATTACAGATACTTTCCTACCCCAGGAGCTGTTGTTCCCTTCCCTCACTGTCTCTGGAGCTGATAACCCTTGACATGAACCTTCCCAGCGAAACAGAGTGCTGCTGCAGCCATCCCAGCTTCAGAAAGCTCCTGGACACGCTCCAGCGCTCCGACCTCTGCCCCATCCTGCCCCAGCATCCACATGGTCCCTGCTTAAATCCGGAAAACTGCTCACACCGGCCAGAATCTTTACAGCATGAACAAGTGGGGTTCAGGATGCACAAAAATAAACCCATCACACGTGTTAAAGGGATTAAAGATGGTTCCTACAACATGTGGAGGTGTATAATACAGTATAGATGGATCACTGCAGAGCATCCACTGGGAAGTCAGGCTGCTGGCACACTCTGGAGACTTTGGATGACAAACCGGCTTGGAGGGAAGGAGAGCACTAGGATGAGGTTTCTGGTCTGTGCACAACAGTCCAGTTTCAGGCACTCAGCTCTTCTAAAGAAAGGAAAAAATCCCCCACCAAAAGATTTCTATGGAAAGCACAGCCCTTCTGACAACAGGAAGTTACTCACTTCAAAAACCCAATTTTCCATCAAAAAAAATCCAAGTTGAAAGGCGTTTCCAGCTCACTCGAGCTGCAGGATCAAAGCCAGGGATTAAGTGCATCTACTCACTGCTGGCTGCACGAGTGTGTCATGGAGCTCTGGGAGCAGACACGGAGCTCACCGACAGCATCCTGTGGAGGGGCAGAGCCCTGCCATGGGCAGGGGACACAGGGCAGGCCTGTGGGAGCAGCAGCATCCTACCAGCACGTTTTTAAGGGTTTCAATTATTTCAGGCACTTGCAAGGACTTTGAGCACTGCCAGGGAGCGTGTGGTGGTCAGAGCTGTGGACTGAGGCCACAAGAGGAGATGGCACAAGATGATAAAGCAAACGTTGGCTCTGCTGGTGAAGCCCAGCATTGATGCCAAGCAATTCCTGCAGCGGAGGTAGAGCGTTAGGAAAAGAGACACAGAAAACCAGCCCAAACAGTGCACAGGCAGAGGCTGGGATGTGCTAGAGGATGAGCCAGAGGAAGGACACACCCTCCCAGGCAGTTGTGGCCACCCTCACGCCTGCTCCCCTCCACCTCCAGCCCTGCAGCAAGTGGGGAGCTGGGCAGGATGAACAGCACAGGAAGAATGTTTGCAGCAGAGGACAGCTTCCCTCCAGGGCCAAAATCACTTCAGACTGCTATTTAAAAGAGGAAAAAAAATGGTGTTCTGGCAGCCTGCAAAGCTTCCTCAGATGGATTTGTGTGGCATGGACCAGATCAGGGAGGAATATTCCAAGGTTTTAATTTCCCTGCCCAGGTTTTATTGCGTGCAAACATACGTGGTCATTGCTTTCAAAGGTTTCCAATTTGCAAACATCTCCTCATGGAAAAAGAACGTCCTGCACTGTGGATGGGGCTGCTGGCACGAGCTCCATGCACCGAGGAAGCTTAGGTGAGGCATGATGTGATGGGAGATGGGCACGTCAGGGGCTGCAGGCAAATCCCAGCCTCCCCCTAGACCCCGTTTGGCAGCACTGACCCAAAGCCAAACCTCGTGGCTGGAAAGAGGGAAGAAAGAAACAACATCCAGGACATCCCACTGCCCATTCCTCATGCTGTCATGGGCGTCTAGTCACAGCACTGGGCACCTTGCAGTGGGTTTGGGAGAGGGGCAGGTGGGAAACCAGCCCAGGAAACTGTCCACCTAGGAAGATTTCTTTCCAGGCATCTCAGTGTGTTTAAAAACAAGGAAGAAAAAAAATAATCTGGTCTGCACAAAAAAAACCTCAGGTCTTCTGCGTTTTTGCTGGAGCAACAGAAGTATTCCTTCTGCCCTCAAAATCCACCAGGGCAGAGAGAGCGGTTTTGTTCTGAACGTGAACAGGACAAAGAGTCAAGAAATGCACTTTGGGGTCAGAACAAGCATGGTACATGAAGGGAGAAAGGACTAAGGAAGCAGCAGCTGGGAAAGGCATGAGCAGGGTTCTAATGGGAACATGACTGCTGCCACAGCCTCACCTGTGTGACCTCGGATGGGACCTGTTGTAGTTTTTTTTCATATTAAAAAAAAAGGGGGGGGGTTAAAAGTTTTTTTTTTTTTTAGGCTCATCCAGATTGCACAGGGGACAGAGAGGGATTTCAAACTTTATATAGGGCAAACATCATCCATGCAGGTTCACATCACATTCACTGCAACCACAGCCCCTGCATAAAGACTGAGTTTCAAAGTGCTCCGGGGGGATCCTGGGAAGTTTGTCAGCTCCCTCCTGAAGACCAGCAGAACAGTAAATCAGATCAATATGTGCCATGAGTGAAGGGGCTGGAGGTGCATCACCCACTTCTGCCACTGCAGCCTTGGGGGGGATTATGACAGAAAAGGTGGGCTGTCCTAGAGGAAAAGCTCCCTGCCACAGGAGCTCCCACTGCTGGAAACGCTTCAGTGGAAGTGACACCCCAGACAGTGGGACCATGGGGAGATCTTCAGAAGCCTTCAAATCCTTGTCGGCCTTCAGCCACCTTTTCCTCCCTAGGCAAGGTCCTTCTGGGAAACACAGAAGTGTTCAGGCCAGCCCCCCCCAGGGATGGCATCTGCAAGGAGCCAAAGTGCTGAGATGCCGTAGGAGGGTGAAGGACAGAAGGGAAGTTTGAGGCACTTGGGAAGCTCCAACACTGCCTCATTGGATCACATAAGGATCTGGGTTGAGAGTGACATTCAGAGACCATCCAATCCAACCCCTGCCATGGGCAGGGACACCTTCCACTAGCCCAGGTTGCCCCAAGGCCCCGTCTAACCTGGCTTTGGACACTTTCAGGGATGGGGCAGCCACAGCTTCTCTGGGCAACCTGTGCGAGGGCCTCCCCCCCTTCACAGGGAAGAATTTCTCCCTAATCTCTGATCTAACCCTGCCCTCTGCAGAGTGAAGCCATTCCCCCCTTGTCCAAAGTCCCCCTATAGCTCTCTTGAAGTCCCTTTAGGCACTGCAAGAGGTTCTAAGATCCCTCTGGAGCCTTCTCTTCTCCAGGCTGAACAATCCCACCTGTCTCAGCCTTTCTTCCTAGCAGAGGTTCCAGCCTTTGGACCATTTCTGTGGCCTCCTACAAGCCTGTTCCAACAGGTCCATGTGCTCCTTATGCTAGGGGCCCCAAAGCTGGACCCAGTGCTCCAGGGGGCTCTCACCAGAGCAAAAGGGGAGAACCCCCTCCCTCCACACTGCTGGGGATGCACCCAGGACACAGCTGGATTTCCAGGCTGCCAGCACACATTGCCAGCTCACGTTCAGTTCTTCACCCACCAGCATCCCCAAATCATTCTCCACAGGGCTGCTCCCAAACTATTCATCCCCAAGGCTCAGAGCCTGAGCCTTTCCTCTCACAGTGGAGGAGCCCTGAGCAAGCTGGCTCAAGGAGGGCACCAAAGCATTCCTGGAGCACTTCCCAAGGCTCAGTTGTCCTCAGGCAAAGGGATAGCCTGCAGGAGACGATTTATGGACAGTGGGAGGTTTCCATGTGCTGCAGCCTACAGATTGGGAGACTGTGGAACAGCTTTCCCAAAGGAAATGGACACAGTTCAACCTGTCCTGCTCCCATCCTCTGAGAGGGCTGAGCAGGCATGGCCTGAGGGATACGGCCTTAGGGGATGGTGCTGCACATCTCCCAGGAGACCTCCCTCTGCCATCTCAGCTCTCCCAGAGGACAAGGCAAAGCAACATTGACACCCAGAAGTCCAATGGCATTTGGATCCAACAGCCAGACTTGGCACACACACACACCACACCAGCAGGAGAAAATAAAACAGCAAAGACTTTGCTCTAAATGGCAAGACCAAGACCCAACTCAGCCTCCCGTACCAGAGAAGCCCTCCAGCTGCATCCCACAGATCCTTCAGGAGCTGTTTGGCTTGAATATGAGATGCTGCTTGGGGCACCTGGAACCAGCCCCTGCTCTGAGCCCTGGAGACACAGCTCCCGCGGGTGACTGCACTGCCACAGCCACGCCAGCTCCTTACCTTCAGCTTCTCGAAGCGATCGCTGAGCGATGCCACTTGGTGGTCCCGGTGGCGGCCCACCAGTTTACATAAGGCACAGATGAGCTGGTCGTCAGCCACACAGTACATGTTCACCTTCTCGTTCTCGTGCTCCAGGCACGTGAGTCCACGGAAGTGCGCGTCGGGCACCGGCTCCACCAGCCGGTGGCTGGTGAAGGGCTTCTTGTTGGGGTGGGTGGCCCGCAGGCAGCGGTCACAGTAGGACACCTCGCAGGTGATGCAGGTCTTGACGGCGTCCCGGGGCGGATCCTGCTCGCAGAACTGGCAGGCGATCCTCTCGCTGGCCACGGACATGGTAGGGCTGTTGCGGTAGGTCCTGTCGCGGCGGCTCTCGCTGGGGGAGTTGGGGCCGCTCAGGGAGGCCTTCTGGAAGCGGTCGATGATGTTCTGCAGGGTCACATTTCTCTTGAGGCCCTCCAGGCCCCGGTGGTTGAGGGAGATGACATAGCGGCAGGTGGGGCACTGGAAGGCGGTGATGGGCTCGATGGACTCGCTGGAGGAGCAGCTGGACACCAGGATGCGGTGGGCACAGCTGAAGCAGAGGCTGTGGGCACAGGGCAGCAGGAGGGGGTCCTCAAATAACTCCAGGCAGATTGGGCAGGTCAATTCTGACTCCAGTGTTTCCATCTTTAGTTAACACGATCCTGATTCAGCATGAAAACCCAGGGAAGGTGGTCGGGAACCTGAGAGGGAGGAGAGCAGAGACATGAGACGGCAGCAACAGCGACTCTCCTAGGCAGCTCCTCTTCTCCAGCAGCAGGCACCCAGGCAGGTCAGACACGTCACCCCTGCAACACTCCAACACTCTATACATCCCACACTGTCACTCCAGCCCAGCCAGTCCCCTGGAAGTGCACCACTGTGGCTGAAGCCTCTCACTGAGGTGTCTCATCCCACCCTCCCCCTGAGCCAAACCACTACCGTGGAGCAGTGGGACAAGATCCATACAGAGGGGATGGGAGACGTGCAGCAGCAGCAGCTGCCCTGACACCTTCAAGGCCAGCCAGGGAAGGACCTGGGCCACAAGGCTGGAGACAAAACAAGGAGAAGCCACACGATTTCATGTTTGTGTTGCTGAGGACTGGGGTGGGGCAGTGCTGGCATTCCATGCAGAAGGGTTGCACTGTACTGCAGAATTAAGCCCCTAAACATCCCCTCCAGCAGCTCCAGGCCTGCCTGCTTCTAGTGAGGGGGAAAAGGTGAATCATGTCCTGGAAACTCTAAGCAGAACATGTCGGGAGCTCCTAACACCCCATCCCACTCCCTGCTTTTCCCAGTCATTGCTTTTTGGAGTAGGGTGGGTAGGGCAGAGCAGTGAAATTATAGTCGGCAAACTTCCACCACTGGCTGTCCTCCACTGCACTCCACAACAGCCAGGGATGCCCAAATCAACTCCAGCTGGAGGCAAACAAGATGTATTTTTAGCTCCCTTCCTTTGTATGAGCTGGAAAAGAGCTCCCAGCAGGCGACAACCTGCTGCTCCCAGCTCTGGTTTGCAGAGCACCAGGAGCTGCACCTCGAGCACTGCCCAGTCTCTGCTGGTGTCCCAGCATGCTCCCAAATGCCTGTCACATAATGACATGGAGTTGGATCCAGTCTCTCCTTTCTTACCTTCCACCCAGTGCACATGTGGTGCCTCCTGGTCTTCTCAACCCACTGCGATGTCCCTTGTCACAGACACAGGGAAAGCCTCATTCTGTCAAAGCCACAGGGACCCCTCACCCTGACACTGCTGCAGGGGCCAACCCTGTCAGAAGGAACACAGTGCCCAGCCCAGCCCTGTTTCCACCCCAGCACACTTTGGTGGGGTGCATGGGCTCTGCCTGGGGAGAAGAGGAAAAACTCTTCCCTGGGTGGGTGGTGAGGCCCTGGCACAGGTTGCTCAGAGAAGCTGTGGCTGCCCCATGCCAGGCAGGATGGGACTTGGAGCAACCCAGTCCAGTGGAAAGTGTCCCCATCCGTGGCAGGGCGTGGAACTGGATGAACTTTAAGGTCCTTCCAACACAAACCAACCTGGGATTCTGTGAAAAAGGGCTGGCTGGGAGGGACGAGGCAGCAGCAGGAGAGGGTTTGGCTGTTGAAAGCTCCAGGCTGCTGCCACCACCTGCAAATGGCAAACTGCACAGGTGTAACCTGCACACCCCCATCCCATCACACCCATCCCTTCCATCACTCCCATCCTCTCTCTTCCCAATTGCCTGAAATGGGATTTGCAAGTGGTTGGAGGAGACCTTGAGCTCCTCCCTGAACCAGCTCAAGGGGCTTATAAAATTAATCCACTGAGCATTTTGGTATGTTCATGCTGCAGCAGCTTCTGCTGCCCAAACACAGCCTCGCACACAAATGTATCCAACACTTTCTCTAAGGTTATTTTTCTTTTCCTCAGGAGAGACAGTGGAAAAGTAGCTGCGTCCAAACAAGGAGAGGAGCACAAGGGCTCCCCGACAGCTTCCTCTCCGCAGCTCCCAGAGTGTTTCTCAAGCCTTGGAGCCTGCCACAGCCATGGGAAAGCAGCGGGGAGGAAACATTCCTGGACCTCTGCCCGGCTGCTCGCACTCTGCTGTGGTTGCCCCAGATCTGCTGGGCTCCCCCGTGCCCCAGGCCTGGCAGGACAAGGAGTGTCCAGCCACGACTCTCCCATCGCCAGCACTGCGGCACCTCCCGCACTGCCCTTGGGCACTGGAGCTGCAACACCTCCCACACTGATCCCTCGCTGTGCCAGATGCTCTGGACACAGCGGCTGCCTCACCCTTAGAGCCCAACACCCTGCCCCACACATGACCCCAGCTCGGGGGGCACAGCCCCTCTCACCTCCCCCCGTGATCCACGGATTCTCTCCGGCCAGCAAACACAAAGGGAAAAGAAAAAGAAAGAAGGACAACAACGGGATTCGGTTCAGAGCCTGACCAAGACTGGGAAAAGAATTTAAAAAACAGGATTGGTGCGAGAGGCTCCCAAACGCCTTGCCAGAGCCGCCTGTTGCTGGGCCAGTCCCACGGAGCAACATCTCATGCTCCCACAAGCTCCCACATCCAACATCCATCTTCGCATCCAGCTCCGCTGCCATCCGAGGGAAAACGAGGCAAAAAGTTTAAACAGCCTTTGGCTTTGTTACCAAGTTTTTACATTAATCTTGTTTTCCTTGCTGGGACAACAGCTTTTACCTGTGACAATATCCAAGAGGAGCCTCAGGTCCCGGGTTGGGACAGGAGCAGGTGCAGGAGCCCCTCAGAGGTGCAGGAGCAGGCACAGGAGCCTGCCTGGAGGTGCAGGAGCCCCGCTGGAGGTGCGGGAGCCCCCTCGGAGGAGGCACCTGCTCCGAGTGCTGCACCTGGCAAGGCAGCCGCGCTGCCGTCAGAGCCTTTCATGCCTCTCACTTTGATGTTCTCTTTGATGTCCAGGATTGACGCAGCACAAGGAATAGCTGATTAGATTAAAATCTGCTTTCTTTACAGTCATTAACTCGCTAAATATAAAAGTCATAAAATATTAACACTGTTTACAGACAGCCCCGTGTCACTTGTGCCCCAAGGGTCAGCGGCCCTGGCCAAGCCGGGCTGTGATAACAACAAGCAGCAGCAGCAGGTTAACAACACAGTAACATAAAACCAAACAATTTTTTTTGTTGTGTTGATTTGAGCTTTGCCTAAAACCCAAGGGAAAGAGAGAAAATAATAATAACAAATAAAAATTACAATAAATAAATCAATGACCAATAAGACAGAAGAGATGGGGGAAGGTAGAGAACCCCAGAGTGAGCAAAGCTGTGGGTGCTGCAGAGCCAGTGCCGAGCCAGTGCCAGGTCCTCTGGGATACAGTGACTGGTGCTTTTACTTCCAGCCCAGATGCATTCCAAAACCCACATGCCAGCACAGAGCAGCAGGAGCATGGTGAGCCTCAGGGGTTCCCAGGATACCTTTAGCAAGTTACACCAAAGGTTGTTGGATACAAAGGTTCCCCCTCCACTTCTTCCAAATTGGTATTTTCACAAGATCAAAGCCAAATGTGCTTCATCACTGCCTGAAGCTCAGAAGCTCATCAGGAGCAAGGCAGAGGTTTGGCACCAAGGGAAGAAGGGAGGAGAGACATGGAAGGAGGAGATGCTGCTCACATCACCTGATCCATACCTGGCGGGGACATCCCAGTGTATATCACCTGAGGCCATGGGCAGCCAGCCCAAAATTCACACTTTCCCCTCCAGCCACCATCCAGCTCCCGTTTTTACCCATGTTTTTTTACAAGTCCACCCAACATTGCCTGTGGTTTCTCCCAGCACCAATCCTGGGCAGAATCCCATGCTGGGATAACTGGACCTGCTCTGATAAAAGCTAACCCTGCAGGTCAGTATTTTCCACACCATGTGTGATTATTTATTTATTTTCTCTCTTTCCCCCTTTTTTCCCCTCCCCCTTTTTTCTCTTCCCTTCCCCCCCAAAAGCTCCAGCTCAGATTGCTCAGCCCCTTCCAAGAATGAGGCTTTAGAAGAGCTATGCTGCTCCACCCGTGCATTAACGAAAAAAATAATAAAATATGGCAACCCTTTCCTTAATTGGCTCAGCGACAGCAGGATACAAAATCTGGGCAGCAGTTGTCTCTGCGCTTTTTGTTGTCCTCGGGAAAATTAGCTCAAAATTGGATCACTGTTGAAGGGAGGATAGAACACCCCGTCCAGCAGCCACATCCCGTTCCCAAAGAGCCCAGGCTGCCCAGCACAGCTCCCATGGCAGCAGGGATCCACTCCCTCATTTGAGGTCCCCCCTCAGCTCCCCCAGCCCTGCCAGCATCAGCCTTCCCAACCAAATGCCCTGAATCTCCCCTTGGGATGGGCCTGTCTCAGGAGAAACAGGGTCCTAAGAGGGAACACAGCCCCCCCAACCGCACAATTAGCAACAGCTTCCGACCTAGCAAAGGCACTCCAGGGAGAGGGGAGGCTGTCAGGCTCCTCCAGCCAATTCAGATCCAGTGTTACCTAATTCTTCTGTGCTCAGTTTGCATCAGCTGTGCATATTTAATGCCAAATTTTAAGCTCGGAGCCGCAGCCAGCACAGAGCATCCCTTGGCCCCTGCTCCTCCCTCCCAGCACACCTGAACACACCGAACAGAACTTGGCCTTTCCTCCCAACGCTCCTGCCTTCACACATTCCTTAATAACTCCATGAATTTGTCTGAGGCTTTCTGAAAATCCCAGTGATCCATCTCCCAGCTGCTCTCCCCAATCACCTTACTGACATACCAGAAAAAGAAGAACCCCCCTGTCCCCATTAAACTGGATTTCCCCTATAAAAGCCAGCGTTGCTGTCCCTAATCCATCATACTGGAGCAGCATTTCCACACCAGCTTTAATTATTTTCTCAGCCAATTTGCTTGGTGCTAAAGCAAAGCTGCTCCATGATTCCCACTGCTCTCCCTGCACCTTTTAAATGAAGGACAGAGCTGAGAGGCTGCATTCACATGCAGCAGTACCCTTTAATGAGAGATTTGCTGGCAGTTTGGCTGCTTCATCCTTAAACTCCTCCTGAAGAGCCACCAGAGTCCACCAGGCACTGGCCATTTGTGCTCTTTAATTCCTCCATTTGCACAGCACCTGATTCCCTCTGGGAATTTCACCTTCATCACTGCCTTCACTGATGGGATGAGACCACTTTGTTCCATCACAACATCCCCTTTCTCCTGAAGGTCTCCT